ACTTAGTGCTTATCCAGTTATAGGGACTGGCTCACCAGGGAACTGATATTCTAAACAGAATGTCAGTTTATTAATTTACCATGAGATAAATAATTATATTATCCAATACTCTGTTTCCTGATGTGTGTATTCTCTTCCTATAAATAAATCTATGTGGGCTACTACATTATAATTATAAAGTGGTCTAGTGAGCAGGCAATCAAAGCAAGAGGAATTGGTTGAATGATCCTTATAGCTAGTGTCATTGAGCATATGCATTCATCTCCACTCTAGGGATAGTCCTGCTCCATGGACTAGATATTGCCATACTTGGCTTAAGGCATCTTTTTCTCTGGATAATGCTAAGTACATACTGCCTAATTTTTATTTGTGTACCTACTTTTTATGGGTGCTGTGCAGATCAGTTCTCTCATGTTAACATGTTTTGTTTTAATAGAATAATATAATATATTAGATACAAACTTTCTAGTTTAAAAATCACAGTTCCAATCTTGAATTCACTCAGGTTTCCTTGATAGGATTTTAGGTGCTTTTTATTAATAGATAAACTCATGGTTTATGTCATTTCTACAAATATCTGATATCATTCATTACTTTTTTATTTTCCCAGCTTCATTCTGAAAGGGGAACTTAACTTCAGTTTGTCATCCACAAACTTCCTTGTTGTCCACATTAACTCTTTGGGATTAGCTACTTTAAATGTTTTTCTCAGCCTCCATGACACTAATCGGTTTGGTTTTGACCCATTAAACATCAAGGACCTGGTCTGTGCTACTCAGCCTGCTAAGTACTTTGACTACAAAAATGAATAAGCCTTTGCTCCCAAGGAGTTTATAATCATGTGGATGCCTTCTGTTTCTCTTTTAACTGTGCAGACAGTCCCCCAATTGGTGATGTATTCAAGTTCCAATAAGCCGCATATAACAACCAATTTTGGGGGGTACATTTTATTGTTAGTGATATGTTGCAGTGTCTAATTTGCTGATGTTATTTTCAGAAGTTTACTTGCAGATGTTCAGTGTCATGATTTACTGTTCAAAACATGCTGGTTTATAAAGATGCTGAAAATAAAAGGCAATAATAATTGGGAAAAAAAGAGAGAGAAATTTGACTTATGTCAGAACCAATTTACAACAGAGTTATCGGAATGGAACCTGTCATAAGTCAGGGCCTACCTGTATGCTCTCTGATTTACCCTATTCAAACTTAAAACTTACCATCTACATGCTGATGATGCCCTAATCTGTATCTTTAAGGCAGAACTCAGTTAGTTTTAGATCTCTCTCCAGTCATTTATGGAATATTTATTGATGTTTTTTAGGCTCCTCAAGTTCAAACATAGTCTAATTATAACCTATCCCTATATACACACACATATCAACATCAGTGCCCAAACAAATCAAAACTAACGTAAAAGCAACCTGTTTATCCTCTCATCTGTGTGGGTGAAGAGCATTATCCAGTCAGTAGTCCATGCTGACACCATTCTTGACTTACTTTATCATCCCACTCTGAAATTTTATCTCCTTTATGTCTTGTTTGGTTTTCCTTTCTTCTCCATTCTCCCTGTTTTCACTTTCTCACTTGGAGGTATGGACTGATCAGCCTCCTATTCACACTTCTCACCTCCATTCTGACTCCTCTCCAGTCTATTCTCCCATTGTTGCCAGTTTGATCTTTTTAAAGTGCATATCTGACCATTATCACCCTCCATCTTAAAACTCTTTAATGATTCTTCAGTCCCCTTAGGGATAGAAGTATTTGGCTTAAGCAATCCTCCCCTTGTCTGGAGATCAGAACTGATCTTTCTTTCCATATAAGCTGTGCTGTGACCTAAGAATCCTTCTCACTGTAGCACGCTAGGCAGCTGTTACTGATTGGTACAGATTGGCACTGAGATAAAAAGCTATTTTTCATCCTTGACCACAGGACTTAGCACATAAGGCTATCCTGCTATCCCCACTTCCTTTCCCATTCTTGTACTTCCTCAAAACTCAGCTTAAGTAGACTTGTTGTTGTTGTTATGTGTCATCGAGTCAGACCCAACTCATAGCGACCCCTTCTTGGGTTTCTGAGGCAGTATCTCTACAGAAGTAGATACCCCAACCTTCCTTCCGAGGAGTGGCTGGTGAGTTTGAACCACCAGACTTCTAGTTAGCAGTCAAGTGCCTTAGGCACTACGTTACCAGAGCTCCCTAAGTAGCCTTAAGCTTCCTTAAGTAGCTTAAGTAAGCAGAGCCTTTCAGGATACTCTCTCCCTCCCACCAGATGGATTCTGGTGCTTCTACTCTGTGTTCCTTCACACTCTGTGCTCAAAAATTCCTGTGCTGTCATCCTAGACTGCAGTTTGTCACCCCTATTATACTGTAAACTTCTGAAAGGCAGAGACCATGTCTGTCTTTGATTTTCTGTCTCCAAAGTTTAACACACGTGTGCTTTCAATAAGTGTCTACGAAAGAAATAAAAGAGTACATGTTTGCTACATTTGACAGCAGCCGAGTTAGAACAGACCTCTAGAAGTTATGCTGTCTGCGTTCTGTTTTCCGTCCCTAAGTATATGAATGTTTTGTATTCTTCAAGATCTTCTTAGATAGAGATTGTATAATCACCCCAATAACCTTACTGTCAGGAGGTTCTTGTTAATGTCAAATGGTCATGATTCTTTCTAATCATTCTTCTGCCTGAAGTAGAAATAGAGAATAAATGCTTCTTAAAATAATCCTGTATATTTTCAACAGGTATATCCTTTCATGTTTTATCCTACTGTTTAGAATCACTAATTACTGATGGAAATGTGTAAAGGTAGAGACAGGGTAACAGCTATCATGGTAGAGATGTTTTTTAGCAGCTATATTGAGATATAATTCACAAACCATGTACTTTACCCATTTAAAGTATACAATTCAGTGGTTTTTATTATAGTCAGAGTTGTACAACATCACCACAATCACTTTTATAATATTTTTATCACACCAGAAAGAAATCTCCATACTCATTAGCAGTCACTCCCCAACCCTCTCCAGCCGTAGACTACCACTAATTTACTTTCTGTTTCTATAAGCTTGCCTGTTCTGAACATTTCATATGAATGGAATCATTATATGTGGTCCTTTGTGACTGGCATCTTTTACTTAGCAGAATATTTTTAAGGGTTGTCCATGTTGTAGCATGGGTCAGTACTTTTTGTGGCCTAATAATATTCTCCCAAAAAAACCAAACTCACTGTTGTGGAGTTGGATCCAACTCATAGCGACCCCTCCTTGAGTTTCCAAGGCGATATCTCTAGATTGGCCAGTTTTCCTTCCGAGGAGTGGCTGGTGGGTTTGAACTGCCAGCCAACCTTCTGTTTAGCAGTCAAATGCCTTAGACGCTATGCCACCAGAGCTCCCAATAATATTCTGTTGTTGTTGTTGTTGTTATATGCCGTCTAGTCGGCCCCGACTCATAGCGACCCCTCCTTGGGTTTCCGAGGCAGTATCACTACAGAAGTAGGATTGCCCAACCTTCCTTCCGAGGAGTGGCTGGTGGGTTTGAACCGCCAGCCTTCTGGTTAGCAGTCAAGTGACTTAGCCACTATGCTACCAGAGCTCCCAATAATATTCTAGTATATGTATATTCCATACTTTATTTATCCATCAGTTGATGAGCATTTGAATTATTTCCTCTTTTTTGACTATTATGAATAATGCTGCTATAAATATTTGTGTAAAAGTTTTTGTGTAGATGTATGTTTCATTTCTCTTGGGTATATTCCTAAGAGTAGAATTGTTGGGTATATAGTAACTCTTTGTTTAACAATAACTGCCATATTGTTTTCTGAAATGACTGCACCATTTTACAATTCTACCAGCATTGTATGAGAGTTCCAATTTCCCTGCATACTCAACCAATACTTGTTATCTATCTGTCTCTTTGATTATATATAGCCATCCTGTGTGAAATGGTATCTCATTATGGGTTTGATATGCATTTCTGTAATGGCTAACAATGTTGAGCATCTTTTCATGTGCTTATTAGCCGTTTATATATTTTCTTTGGAGCAATGTCTATTCAGATTCTTTATTCACTTTTTAGTTGGGTTGTCTTTTATTGTTGGATTATAGGTTATGAATACAAGTCCCTTATCACACATAGGACTTGCAAATATTTTTTCCCATCTTATGAGTTGTCTTTTTACTTTCTCAATGGGATTGTTTACAGCACAAACCTTGGAACCTTGGATTTTCTTTTTTTTGGACACAATTATATATATATATATATATAGTGATTTGGATGAAAGTTCACAGAACAAATTCAATTTCCATACAGCAGCTCACATACTCTTTGTCTTATGAAATTGACTGCAATTTCCCACAATGCAACAGCCTCCCTCTGACTTCCTCCCCATATTTACCTCTTCCCTGTGTCCTTCCCTCCCATGCACTCCTGCCCCTTGAGCTGTTAGACACAAATGTTTTTAATTTTGCAGTCTAGTTTATCAATTTTTTCTTTTGTTAGTCATGGTCTTGGTGCCATATCTAAGAAACAGTTGTCTAATCCAAGGTAACAAAGATTCACTCCTATATTTTCTTCTAAGAGTTTTATAGTTTTAGCTCTTATATTTAGGATTCTGATCCGTTTGAGTCAATTTTTGTGTGGTAGAGATTTAAATGATTTAAACTTTTTTCTTAAGTCTTTTCTGTGTATATACTATTTACTTTTTCTTACTGAGATGATAATGAAGATACAGGGTGATCTCTAATGTGGCAGCTGAGCTTTTCATAGAGGGGAATGTTGAGGAGGAATAGTGAGCCAAAATGTAGGACAGATTTAGGACATTAGGATAAGATCTCAAATAGCCTATCTCTCACTACCAACCTGAACTTTACTTTAAATCTTCCCATTTCAAAATTGTTCAGAATTGTATGAGATGCCAGGAGCTGTTGTAGAACCCAGTTTTATGTGGTACATTAGTTGTAACTTGTGGGCAGCTGTGATGGGCTACTTGGTTTTCTCCTCAGGAGTCTCTCTTTTTGGCTTGTCCGCCCTGTTGATCCCTGGGAACTTTGAGTCTCATTTGGATCTTGTGAAGTCCCTGTGTCTGGGGCCAGCGCTGATCTACACAGCGAAGTTTGCACTTGTCTCACCTCTCATGTATCACGCCTGGAATGGGATACGACACTTGGTAAGTTAATTGTGTATTTGCACATTTTCTGGGTGAAGAGAGTGGGGCAGCCAGGGAGATTGTATATTTCCCATCTGAGTTTAGTGCTATTTTTAAGGTTATTTGTGCAGGGCCTTTGCTCAGAGTCCTCTTGGGGAAAGATAAACAAGGCCCCCTGTGCATTCTAGGCAGCTCTGCTGATGGTATAGCTGAGCATTCACTGTGTAGGCCAGGGGTCCCAGTGTAAACTCTTCTGGTGTTAAGAGGGATATGTGTGTGTGTGTATGTGTGTGTTTTTAATTTTTATTGTGATTTGGGTGGAAATTTACAGAGCAAATTTGTTTTCATATAGCCGTTCAGATCACATATGCTTTGTCTCATGACATTGACTGCAATTTCCTACAGTGGAATAGCTTTCTTCCCACTCCTCCAAAATGGATATTTTTAAAGAGACCCTAGCATAGAAGGCATATTTATAAGACAAATATTAATTAGAACCTATAGTGTATGATAACTGTTCTAGAAACCAGAGATTCAGTTATAAGCTAAATAAACATGGTTGTTACTTTCAGTCTAACATTCCTGGCAACCCAGAGTGTCTTCTCTGGCTGACGTCAAATATATTATTTTTTGTTATCTTGACATTGGTCTGCATTCACTGTTTTTTGTTTGATTTTTGTGTTATTATTATTAAAAAAAAAAAAAGCTACTGGAGAGAATGGGGCCAACTTTAACAAAAACTGGGTACCTAGGTATTTAGTATCTCTGAACCTGAACCATCTGTCAGATGGAAGCTTTTGCCTTAATTTGACCTTTTATAACTTCTACATCAGAGCCTAGAGACAAGCACTTTCTGAATTTCAGTCTGATCAATAGATAATTTAATGGAATCAGAAAAGTGAGAGACCGAACAACCTATTATCTGTCAAGTGTTCCCTGGGGCAGTGTTGAGTTTGTCTTAAAATGACTTCCCTTAGGAGAAGGTAGAGAAGAAGGACATTTCCATTAATGATTTTTTTATCCCACAGAACAAAAATCAGCTGATCAGCTTCCTCGGTTCATATTCTGGCTTAGGCAGGACTTGCCATCTGTTTGCTAGTGTCTTACCATAGGGCACAGGAGAGGGAAGGAGGTTTTACAAAATCTCAGAATTTAGCCTAAACTTTGCCTTCCTAGTTTTTGCCTGTAATGGTATTAACCCCTTTGTTGGGAGAAGTCAGGTGCCTAAAGACTTTTCTTCAGCCCTTAAATCTGCTTTTATCTTTTATTCTGGCAAGTACTGGCTCTTAGTGTGGGTCAGGAGTTTGGTCTATCTGTCCCTAGTTTTTAGCCTCAGAGCTGATAGTTGCCTTGCTAGAAGATCTAATTGGGGACTGGAAAATAAGATTAATTTAAGAGAGTAGGAAGTGATAGGGCCTGTGGCATTGTAGAGAATGTCCCTTATACCACTACCACCCAATAAAACTAAAAAACCAAACTCACTGTCTTCTAGGCAATGCCAACTTATAGCAACCCCTGTTGGGTTTCCAAGGCAGTAAATCTTTACAGAAGTAGATTGCCCTGTCTTCTGCTGCATGGTTGGTGGGTTTGAACTGCCAGTCCTCTGGCACTACACCACCAAAGCTCCTGCCTACCACCCAGTAGGACCTAATGTTCTGTACAACACCATAGCTTTCTAAGCAAAACAGCGCTTTGTGCAATCTACTGGAGTCCTGATCTGATCATGTTAACATCCATTATTTGGATGTTAACATGGAGGCATCTTCTCATCTTGATTTTTCTCTGGACTCGCTCCAACTTTTCTCTGAAGTGACTCCTGAAGTAGTCAATTTTATAGTCAAATTGTGGATATGTGTGTATGTTGGGGTGACCGTGTATATGGAAAGTGTGGAGCTTGAAGACCTAATTTTTGCTCTAGTGGATTTTTTAATGACTTCATATAATATGTTTATATCCTCAGGGCATGGGAAATTTGGCAGTGATTATGGGTGGTATCCACACAACATGATGAATGCAATTGATGTCACTAAATTGTACACCTGAAAAATGTTGAATTGCCAAATGTTGTATTATATATATGTTTACAGCAATGAAAAATTTATATTGCTAGGGCACAAGAGAGTCTAGTTAAGTGTTTTTAAAATTGGATTTTGATCCAGTGGGTATAAAATTAATTTAGTGGGTTGCTAACAACAAAATTAAATAGAAAATACAGAATGATGGTAAATGTTATTTATTGTTTCATGAATGTTCTATCCATCTAAAAACCAAACTCACTGCCATCAAGTTGATTCGACTCATAGTGACCCCTCCTTGGGTTTCCGAGGCAGTATCTCTACATAAGTAGATTGCCCAACCTTCCTTCGGAGGAGTGGCTGGGGGGTTTGAACCACCAGTCTTCTGGTTGGCAGTCAAATGCCTTAGGCACTACGACACCAGAGTTCCTATCTCTCTATCTACTGGGTTCCAATTTAGAATATATTTCTTAGTAAATTAAATTGTTTGAGAAGTCTTACACTTATGTGTTCACCTAATTTATTTGACCACAAGAACTTTATTCCTTATTTAATGCCTCATCATTCTGAGGAACAAGATTTTGGAGGGATGTACTTTGGGAAATACTGATTGGGTCTTTTGTCATGGGAAGAAGTTTTATGTATTTATTCTGGAAGCTTTTGTATATAGAGGCAGAGGATACCTTTTCTGACACTGAGATAAGTAAATGGTAGGTACCATGTTGTGAATTTTGAGAAAGGTGAAGCTGGGGCATAAGGGTAAAAGTACTTTTTCTCCAGAATTATGCTGAAAGGAGTTAACCTGTTTAAGTAGATAGAATTCCTTTCTGAGAAAGGAGCCATGAGAGTGACCAAGACCCTGATCACTGAAATAATTCCTTTTTTTTTTTGCATTGTTTACAGATGTGGGACCTGGGAAAAGGCCTGAAGATGCACCAGCTATACCAATCTGGAGTAGCCGTCTTGGTTCTCACTGTGTTATCCTCTCTAGGGCTGGCAGCCATGTGAAGAGCTGAGGCTCCCAGCATCTTCCTACCAGTTGCTACATTGACCTTTCTTCCTGATTGTTGCTCTTGTCTCTATCCAGGACGAAGTTCTCCTGATTTGATTAAACCTTTTTGTGCTTGCAAATGCCCTTAGAGTTCAGTAGTAGTAGAGAACTTTGTAAAACCAAAGTAATGGAAAAGGGTCCCATTTTCCCCTTGTTTCTAAAGATAAAGTGGCTGCAAAAACTCCCTTTTCCTGTCCCCAGGTTGCAACCTACTCTGGGCCTAGTACTCTTTATTCTCTCTATATATTGAGCTTTCATTTGTGCTTAGGGTCAGCTTTTGGCTTCGTCTTCCTGAGACAGTGGAAACAATGCCAGCTCTGTGGCCTCTGCCCTAGGAACTGGGGGTGGGGCTCTGGGTGCCACTGCCTGTGGGTTGTTGGCTTAAAGGACAGTTCTGTTCATTGGTCAGAGCCCAGGGTCTTTAGCACCCACACACTGTGACTAAAAGAAGAGGAGTGGGGTGGGGAAAATTAACCTGTCACAGTTAAGGGAGGTGAAATGGGTGAGTTGGCTCTGGGAGCAGGGCCTTTGAGGAGAGGACATACAGCCTGTGATGCAAGAGAAAGAGCCTTTGACCATATCACTGAACATAATAAGTTTTTTTTTTCCTTGCATTTCCAGGAAAACAAGTCTCTTAATGTCATGTTTTCTAAGCCAAGTTCATATGACATATTTTTCTGAAACTGAATTAAAATGCTCATTTTGTCTTTGACTCTTCTTGAAATCTAGAGAAACTCAGAGAATGGTGATTAAGGGGGACCCAGTTCCCATCGAGGACTGATTATGAGCAGCCTCTTGGTATTATTCAGTAAATTATGGTCCCATGAAGGAGGCAGAGGACCAGTAGACATGAAAGCTAAGGGATGAGCTAAGGATCTATATGTAGAGAGAAAGGAAAGTAAAGATAAGAAAGGAAGGATGGTTAAAAACCTGACAGAATTTAATAACTGAATGAGAAATTTTGCTGACTTTATAAACCATATAAGCCAAGCTTTTGAGTCCCTAACCCTCTTGGTAGGAGTGTTGTTTGAGTTTTTGGAAACTTGCAGGTAACAGATCTATCTTGTCTATTGTTCTGAGTTGTTGGCCATTGAGTTAAAGCCCTGGGTTGGAAAGAGGTTGTAGAAGACCTAATGTAGCTCAGGCATTGGGGATCTGCTCCTTGACAGTCTTCATCCCAGCTCCAGAATAGTCTTTGGTCTTAAATAATATTCTCTTCTTTTTTGCTAAACTGGTTCAGGGAAATCTTTATAGCTCTCCTCCAACTTCAGCCAGCTGTTCTCTGTACTTTTTGTCCTTGGAGTGAGGGCAAGTGTTCATGAGCGAACACTTTGGTACTAGAACTGGGAAAGTTTTGGCAAGGGTGTTAAATTTAACAGATGCAGAATGGGGTCAATGATAAAGAGATACCAGAGGCTGAAAAATGGATAGGGGATGTCTTGATTTTTTTGGTGACTTCTTATAATTCAGGTGAGTGATAGTGGGAGAGGAGTAGCAGAGCAGTCGTCATGTTTGTTATTCTGTCCTAAATTCCTACCTATTTTTATTTTTCTTTGCTGTCTTCCTGTCACATTTGTATCTTCAGTTTACAAACTATGTTTGTACTTATATTTTAATTCTGCTTCTATAACTCTTTCAGTTTGTTTTTCTTCACACATTCTGTTGTCAATTAGTTATAAAGTCTTAAACACAAAAACCAAACTCACTGCCATCAAGTCAATTGTGACTCAAAGTGACCCCTCCTTGGGTTTCCAAGGTGATATCTCTACAGAAACAGATTGCCCAATCTTTTCTCCAAGGAGTTGCTGGTGGGTTTGAACCGTCAGCCTTCTGATTAGCAGTCAAATGCCTTAGGCACTACGCCACCAGAGCTCCCACAGTCTTCTTAGATAAGGCCAATGTCTTCTACTTTGGCTTTCCCTAAGCTTTTCTTCCCCACCTTCTCCAAACAACAAACTCTACTAAACAAACAATTAAACTTCTGACTTTGAAGTTATAGTTGTGTATGCTCTTCTTCTGCAAGGTTACTTCCCTTCACTGAGGTTGGGACAAATAGCCTAGAAAATGGGAACTTTTCCATTTCAAAGTTGGAGTCCAGGCCCAGGATTAAGGAAGGGTGGGGAGTGGGGGGCTTGTTCTTTGAGTTTCTACCCTTTTGCAATGATTCAGATCAACGTCCTTTTGATCATTTCTGGAGCAGAATATAGTACTCAGTCCTTGTGGAAATCCCAAACCATAGTCATACCCTTTTCTGCTCTATTTCCCCATCTTTCCTTCTTGTTATGGGTTATAAGAAGCAGCCATAGCAGAAAGAGAAAATCCAAGTCAGTAAAAGATTCAACAAACAATGTTTATTTTCTAAATGTGCCCTTGCTCCCATCCCATTATTTCCCCATTTCATATTGCTGACTAGGGATCTTGTTTACTTTGCTCAGTCTCTAGACAGGTTTTCTCAGTGTGGTTCTTAGTCCTTTCTGGAGTTCTAGGTTTGCATTTTGGGACCTTGGCTAGATCAGGCATACATGGGCTTCCAGGTAGGCTGTTAGGAGAGTTGGGTGGGCTTTGGAAAGCTGGAGTGTGACCTGCAGAGGGGTGTGGGCTTTGCAGTTGATGGGGGGAGTTGCAACTTGTGGCTGGGGAGTTTGGAATTATGGTGGTTCTTGGTGCTTGTTGCACAGTCTTCTTCCTGAGTTTCTTCTGACTGACTGGATCATGGGGCTGTCAGGGGTGGAGTGGAAGAAACAGTTATATTTTTGGGCAAGCCCAGATCATTCCCAGGCCATCCCAGAATTCTAGCTTGCTTTCTTGGCACACTATGGGCAGAAGGTCAGGTTTCAAATAAGAAGAGTTAAATTTGATACCCTCCATAAGAAGCCTTAGTGGTGCAACTGTTAAGCACTTGGCTGCTAACTGAAAGGTCATCAATTTGAACCTGCTCCGTGAGAGAAAAGGCTGGCCATCTGCTCTCATAAAGATTACAGCCTAGGAAACTCTATGAGGTGTTTCTGCCCTGATATACAGGTTGCTATGAGCCAGAATCAACTTGATGGCACACAACAGCCTCTACTTGAGATTAGATCATTTTCTACTCTGTGGGTAAAATGTCCTTCGGCTGGGCCTCATGAGGTAATTAGGGATTAGACGGGATGAAACAGAGTTGATTACAAGGTTCCCCCTGCTGGGGTAGTGGTGGTATAACAATAGACAGTTTTGAGATTGAAAAAAAACGGAGACAATAGCGTTCGGAATTAGGTTGGAGGAATCTATACCTTGCCTAAGATTTCAGGACGTAGTCCATTGGAGGCCTTGAGCAAGTCAGGATTTTTCTGAATCCATTTGGTGAGGGAGGCAGCACCAGCAATTGTACGGGAGGTCAGAGTCACCCGGGCAGGGGGTATCTTTAGAGGCATTTGCCAGGTGCCCATGAAGGAACCCCAAGGACTTGCCTAAAAGGAAAAAAGGTAAGGCTCCTTAGTCCCAATAAGTCAACTGTTGGCAGGGCTTCTATTTGTCTTACTTCCATCCTTTAACTTTGGGAATACATGGTAATGAAACAAGCATAATCTCCCCACTATCTTCTTCCCCTTTGTCATTAGGTTCCCCTAATTTTTCTATCCCCTTCCCTCTGCCTGCCTAAGCTCTGCAACCTTGGGCTCAGTTTGGCAAAGTAGTACCCATGACATAAATGCCCATCTTCGTCAGTTCAAGGATGTGTCTGATGCTAAACACAACTCTGTCCTGTTGAATGAACTGGCCAGATAGTGATTGTGGGAGATTGCAAATCTACTCCTCTGTTAACCCCAGTTCTCTGCTTCAGTTCTTTACCTTTCATGATAAGAATGGAGGTAACTGTCTCACCTTGGAGCGAGGCACTGAAGGCAACAGGTGACCACGATCATTGGCGATAATCTGAGTGTAGCCTTCATGGGCAGAGATGCTCTGGGATAGAGATGGATAAGAATAGTGCTTGTGAAAACAGAGTGGAAAAGAGAGAGAAAGGATCTGAGGGGCTTGAATTGGGGCGGGGGGGAAGGCTAGAAGGAGTTCTGTCCCAGGGAGTTACAGAGAGCATGACATAAAGAACAAGAAACTGGCCTTGTGGGTGCACTGAACAAGAATACCTCTTTAGTTGACTTGGCAGGAGACCAGTTCTGCAGATACTTGGGTGAGAAAGGTTTTTCATACTGTGGAGAGAAAGATGAGAATCCCTGTGAGGATTAGAGGCCCTAAGCCAGGAAATGATACCAGGCACAGGTTTTAGATCTGAAAATGAAAGGCCTGAACAACCATGCTAGGTTTTAACTCACTACAGAAAGGATGTCATTTGTTTGATCTATACATACACTGTCCAGCATGGTAGCCATTAGCCACATTGAGCATTTGAAATGTAACTAGTCTGAAAAGAGTTGCTTATTAGTGTAAAATAAACACTAGAGTTTAAAGACTTAGTACAAAAAAAAGTAACATCTAATTTATACTTTAAAAAATATTGATTACATGTTACAACTGTATTTTGGATACACTAGGTTAAACTGAATATATTAAGTTTCACTTATTTTTACTTTTTGTCATGTGCTATGAAAAAATTTTAAATTACATTTGTGGCTTACATTATCTTTGTATGGCATAATACTGGTCAAGACCAGGGCAAACTGGCCTACAAGGCAGATCCATACTGCTGCTTGTGAGCTAAGAATAGTTTTTATAGATGAACATTTCAGTTGATTTGATGAAAGCTAACACTACCTTTGAATCCCAATTAAGCAAATTGTTTTCTACCCCCATGAGAATTTCATTATTTTCATAGTTGACCTATATTACAAAAAATTACTCAGTTATTATTACATTTTTAATTTTGTAGAAAAAAA